TAAGATTACTTGTAACCTGAAATTCCTTAGGGACATGTTGCTTGAAACTGTCCTCTACCCAGTGCCCTTAATGGACTCATAACTACAGAACAGGAAAACAAACTGACACTTTTTTTTTTGCAATCATTAAAAAAAAAAAAAAAGGTACTATTTCAGCAGACATAAAGAATGAGTATGACGCAGAACACAGATCATACATCTCAAAGAGCTCTTTAAGACAGATTTCTGTCCCTTGATTGTCTGTGAGCCCTCTTCTCCTGGTGGACCACAGTATGTTAAAATGAATGCACGAAGGCATGCAAATTGCATCAAAGATCAAATACAAACAGAGGCTTTTGTGTTAGGCATTTTAATGAAGGTGCTGAATAACCAAGAAATAGTGAACAAAACTATGGAGATTAAAATAAACAGGAGGTTTTGGTAAGTTGAGGGGTGAGAGGAAATAAAACAATTCATCAAAGCCAAAAGAGAAGACAATATATCTAATTATAACCAGTAACAAGAGTTCCATATTATCAACTTATCTACTTCACATATCCATTTATGCCTTTTAACTTAATGCAGCCCAAATGTCATTTTTGGATGTAGGCTCCCTGTTTACTGGGTCTACTGATAAATTAGATAGGTGGAAGAACATTCTATATGGCTGCATTGCAATTAAGCGAAAGGACATTTCAACTTGCTTTTTTTTTTTTTCCCCCTTAAAAAATGGAGAGGATAATATAAAAATTTCCATTTCCGCCAAATTCATTATCTTTGAATTCAGGACATACTTTATCATCATGACAGATTAATAATGGTGGTCCAGTTATCAGGATCTATTATTCCCCTAGTCAGTGTGCTGAGGTAATTGTCATTATAAAGACTTTCCCAGCCACATATGTCATCAGTTTGACTGGAGAGATTCATAACCCTGATGAGCAACACAGTAAAGTTATCAGAAGGCAAAGATTCTTGCAATACCCTTAAAATGTATTTGACAAGGATGTGAAAATTGCATTTCTGAACCTGTCAACTATATATAACTATATATAAAGATGCCTACCAGAAGGACAAATACAGACTTAATCACCAGTGGATCTGCATGATAAAAAACACTGCGAGGGGCGGGAAGGCAAACCTTTCTAGAAGATAAGGTATGCCAGAGTGACCAAACTGAAACACCGCACGTGCATTCCTACTTTTTCTCCCCAAATATGTGTATGAAAGCACATCAATAACCCTTGAACTCCAAGTACAACTTAGGTACTGGGCAAAACTGGGCCTGATTCTTCCTCCTTTCCCTTCCTTACCCTGGCCACCTCCTCCCCAAATCCATCCTGTAGCCCTGTCTGTTCTTCAGCTATGTTTTCAGTCTTACATTGCTTCTAAGTGTGAACAGAGAAGACACAGTGCCACATCAGTTTGCCTAAGTTACTGCAGCCTTATTATTAGAGCAACTCCATTTCTACAGATTATCTTTTATTGAAGCCTGGCCAGCAGCTTGTGATCCTGGCTCCAACCACATGGTTTCAGCATCAGTAACAGTTCAGATAAAAGATGACACAGCAGCATTTATGACACAGGAATGGCCAGAAACATGGGCAAACCTCACCGAGGCTCTTCAGATTTATATGTGTAAGAGCATTTAGGGCCATTTCTAAACATAGTGAATAATTTGAAGCTACAGTTTAACAAACTAATGCTTTCCCATCTACTGATTTGCTTTGCCTTTACTGCAGTCTCTTAGCTGTTTTAACCTAAATTTTCCAACCTTCAATGAAGAAAAAGTCTGATGAGGATGTGCTAGGCTGTGCTACTTTATTGCTTCAGAAGGATCATCTTTTAAAATCTTTTTTTGAATGTAGGGGACACACAAAGTCACTGGAGTGCTTTCAGTCCACATATTCCCTTAACTGTAAAAGAATAGGCATAATCTCCCTCTCTTGACAAAAAATTCAAGGAAATAGATCTTTCATCTCAAACAAAAGAACAACAGGACATACTCCTATACATATACACAAACACATAGGACAACAACAAGAACTTAGTATATGAACAAAGCTTGTTGTGGAACACTCAAGAAGTCTGGCCAACAATTTTCAAAGTTATCTTTGTCATGAAGACATCCTTATTTATTTGAAACCAGCATGCGTTTCAGTTGCCAGTATAATCAACGACATTTATTGGCAAGCACATTTAGTGGCAGGTTTTGAAGTCAAGCCCGATAGGATATAAGATACAAAACCAGGGTTCAATTGCTTAGATTCCACTCTTTAGGGAGACTGATGTTTAAACAAACAAACAGAAAAATCCATTAACATCAAACTTAAGTATTTTCTGCTTACTTCTTTGCAAGTTTGATCTTTGAGAATATTTGCAGATTTGCAATTCCATTGCATCTCCCCGCCCCCTTACCCCCCCTAGGAATATGGCTATTTCAAGACCGATGCACTCAAAACATTGAAAAGTAGCTGTCAATTGTTAATGGATACACAAATTGAAGATGAAACCCAGTATGGTTCTTATGCTCCTGTGTTTACCTTACTTTCAAACCATAAGAGAATCATCATATGAAAAAATCGGTAACTGCCCTTTCCAGAAATTGTACTGTGTTCTGAAGGAGTAACTGGATGACTGGATGCATGTTTTAGAGTTTTTCAGTAATTACTTGCATTCTCTTAGATACAAGAAAGTCTTGCCACCTCACATCATAAGCATTAATGCTGCCCTTAGAACTTGCTTTTAATCAGAGGCTTGTCAAGCCATGCTAAATTAATATGGGTCAACAGATGTGTTAGGCTATACTAAAACAGATTTTCAGGTCACTTGTCTGAAGCATTGTTTAGCACTCCTGGTTCCTTTCACATGCCCCAGACTGAACTTTCCCTGCAGCAGTCTCCGTGGTGCCAAGCAGCTCTGAAACATTCCTAAAGAATATTACCTTGAAGAAATTGCCTGACTTCTGCTGTGGGGAGATACACAGCAAGTTAGGCAATGAAGGGGAATTACTGTAACAAAATTAATATATGTTGCATTTTCCCCACCCCAAAGTAATGTTTTCCAATAAATTGCTTTCAAGCTTACCTGATCACAAGTCTCAGTACATTACAGTAACTTCTAATGACTGCCAGGCTTTTTGGATTCTTTTGATGTGAATCAACAAACACTAAATTCAGATACTAAGGCATTAAGGGGAAAAAAACCCCAACCCCAAACAGTAAGGGAAATCCACACTAGGGTAGCATTTCAACATTCTTTCTCATGATTGATCTCTGCAGCATTTCAAGTTTTGTTCTTCAGCTAATCCTCCTGCAGACAACCAGACTTAAGTCTGTGGAAGACATGTTCAGAGTGTTCAACTCCATGATTTATATTATGCAAAAACCTATTTAGGGACTTTAAATATGCATAAGGGAGCAGAGATACCACAGCAGTATCATTTGAAGCTCTTCAAATGTAACAAAATCATTTGCATATTGACAGGTTACTGGATTGATCCTTTGCAGTTACTACAAATGCATCCTTTTGGATACTATAGAGAAATACTGCATTTGCTTACTAAAATAAATAAATAAATCGACCAATCTTTGCAATTGGGGTTTAAGAAAAAATGTACCTATCAAACACTACTATTTCAGAAGACTGCCCTGAAACCTCTGAAAACAGCCAGGAGATACAGCTGTACTGTTTAACGTTTACGCTTGAACAGCCCTTTGAAAGACACACATTTGATTTAACCAGAAGACCCCAAGTAAAAATCCCATAACATCCTGAGCATTTTACTTTTTACTGAAATTTTCCATTCTTGATCATAGTCCAAGGAAAACATTCATGTAGAGTTTGAGGAAAATACTTTCTTCCCTATAATTAAAAATAGTTGAACTTAGATATTTTCTAAAACATACACAATAGAAACTTTCCTTAATTATATCTCCAGTAAAGCTTGCACAACAGCTAGGGTAGAAAACAGAACTAAATCCACTTTCTATTAATTAAGAAACAGTACTGAATTGTATCCCACTATGGTGCACAAAGTATATTTGCATAAATTTTTTTGAAGACTGCAAATGACAATGGAAGAATAGATGACAGTAATCCAAAAAGTTTAGAAAATCTTCAAGTTGCAACATTAGTGATATGGATCCACCTCTATGAAAACTCAGACATTAAAAAAATAAAAGTATTTGCATGCTAAATTATTAGAGTTCTTTAATGATTAGAGTTCTGCTGTTCTGTTTTGCTGTAGAGTTAACTGCTTCAGTTACTATCAGTTTACCTCCCCAGGCAAGGAAAATGGAGAAAGCTTTTTCAGCATGGCTAAACTAAAAGCCTAAAGTAACTTATTCATGGCAGAACTCTGATTCATTAGTCTATCTCATAACCTCAAAAGCTGAAGTGTGTGTTTCCTACTGAGAATCCAAAAACGGAGCACCACATTCACTGTTATTTCCAAAAAAATTGAAAAGTTGATTAATTTTCATCAAGTAAGGAATTACAATAACGTAAGAATTTGAGTTACTCCTCTTTTCCTCCCCAAAATAAAAGTCCTCTCCCCATGCCGTATTCCTCATTGTTCTAAGTTCTGGACCCTACACCACAAATCTACCACAAAAACGGGCTTGGGCTACAAATCACTGTATGTGGAAAAAAACCCACTATAGTGAAGAAGCTGAGGGAAGACTGTTAACCATACCCATGCGAAGATAAATTAAAAACTTTAGGTTATGATTAAGTCCTACAGAAACTGGATTAAATCGTGGATTGCACTGATGCCACCTATCTTGTACATTTGTTCAGAATACCTACCACTTCCAATTCATTGCTACTTTTACTTTACTTTTGTGCAGAGAGAAGTGGCTCTAATCTCCAAAACTACTTTTCATGTATACATATAACTGCTAACATTGATTGTTGTTACACTTTGATTACAGTGAAACAAGAAAAAAAGATATTGGAATTAACTGCCTGTGTTGCAAGAGGGGAAAAAAAGCTGAAAAAGAACCCTGAACACAAAAACCATGAGAGACCGCCTCCAAGAGCTTAAACTGAGAGCTAAGGAACTACAGCTAGCTGGAGAAAACAATGGTGCAACTGTACAAGAAGAGGAGCAGGAGGAGTTTGAACAGCAGGCCATTATTTATGAAAAAGAGCCCATAACTGAAAGGCACTTGCATGAAATCCAGAAGCTCCAGAATGAAATTAATAATTTGGTGGAGGAAGTTCATAAATTCAGTCAACAACAAAAAAGCCTACTATCTTCAATGAGAAGATTCAGTGTTCTTAAAAAGGAATCTAACATAGCAAGAGAAATAAAAATTCAAGCAGAGCATATACGAAAAAGTTTGGATGAACTGTCAAAAACAGTGAAAAAGGCTGAAAATGAACATGGGCCATCACGTGCCACAGTAAGAATTTTAGCTTCCCAGCACGCTTTCTTATCCCAGCGTTACCTAAATGCTATGCTGTCATACAACGATGCTATAACTGCTAAGCAAGAGAAATGCAGAAGATTTATTGTTCGTCAGCTTGAAGTAGCTGGTAAAGAAGTATCTGAGGAAGAAGTCAATGACATGCTCCAACAAGGAAAATGGGAGATTTTCAATGAAAATCTACTCACTGAAGTAAAAATTACCAAAGCTCAGCTTTCGGAGATTGAACAGAGACACAAAGAACTAGTCAATCTGGAGAACCAGGTCAAAGACTTAAAGGAACTTTTTATCCAGATATCAGTTCTGGTGGAAGAGCAAGGGGAGATGATCAACAACATTGAAATCAGTATGAACAACACTCAAGAATACACTCAAGTATCTAAAGAAAAATTTGGGCTTGCAGTCAAGTATCAAAGAAGAAACCTTTGCAAAGCAGTGTGCTGCTGGTGTTGTCCATGCTGCAAATGACAAAAGAAATAAACTGAAATACCAATGGTTCCTATTTAGTAAACTATTCTTGTAAAGCAGTTTCAGGATCCCTCGATTGCTTCATTTTTCTTCCCATTTCCCCCTCCACAGAGGTGTCAGGAAAAACTGCATCTGTTTTTCCAAAGAGAGTTAGAAGAATGAAAAGAATTTTATGTTTTCACAGAAACACATGAACTAGGGGAAAGGATCAAAGGACACAAGTGACACTTTTTTGTTCTTCCACTCAAACTAAAACAATGTGGCAACAAACTACCTGTAGTTTTGGGAAGCATTGCAAATATTGTTAATCTCAATGACAGGATTCAGAAGAACAGTTTAGTTACCTTTTACAAAATAACGATTAGTGGTTTTAATTGCCTTGTGGTTTTTTAGCACTCATATTTACTTGGTTCAAATTCTAAGGTTTTTTTTCCAGGAATCTGAAATTCTACAAAAAAAATCCCAAATGTACACATAAAGCAGACTTCATTAGTAACAATCCAGAACGTGATGTCTAAACCAAACAGAAGTCAGAAAACAGTTATTAGGAGTGTTTCAATACTACCTCTATAGGAAAAGTTACTTCCAGGCTTACTTACCTACTTAACACCATCAAATATTGCTCATGTTATAGTAGGACAGAGTGTACTGTCTTATGGAATGCAAAACAGACATTGGGTTATTTATTTTAATAACACCATGCTCTATTTCTTACAGATGGGTGTTGAGCTGGTATTTTCTGAACACATTAAAGATCACTAGCAGCAGAAGACCACATCACCAAACTTGCAGGGACATGTTAGCAGCCTGCTGAGAAGCCAAGCATTAATAAACTGAAATAGAGATATTTACATTATTCAACTACATAGGCAGACCCCTACGAGGTAAGGACAGGGGAATATGACACTTTATTACACAGTGATAAGACACGTTCTTACTTTTGCCTAGCCTATCTAAATATGTAGTTGCCTCTGCAGTCTCACTTTCACTAGTACAAAAATGAAGGAAAAAATATAATTAAAAAAATAGAACTCCATCCTTATAAAAATAAACATAATCTAGAACCAGAGAATGATTTAGCTCACAAGGAACTTCTGGGGGACATGCAGAGCAACCTCTTGCTCAAACTCTTGATCAAATCAAGACAGGAATTTCCCTGGTTGCAGCTCTTGTCCACCACTTCTCATCCTACCACCACACCTCTGAGAGGAGCCTTGTTCTGTTATCTTCACACCTTACTAGTAGGCAGTAGGAAGATCTCTCCTTTAGTTTCTTCATCTTAAGTCCAAACAAACGCAGCTCTCTAACTCTCCTCATATGTCACACACTCCAATACCCAAGCAGCATGGACTCACTATAGTATAATCAACATTTGTCTTCATGGTCGTCTTGTATTGGGAAGTCCAGAACCGGCCATGGTATAGGACATGCATTTATTTGTACTACTACAGGAGCAGCCAGAAGAACTAGTTGAGGGTTTCCACAACTCTAAAGGGTTCCATGAAATTCTGCTAATTGTAGAAGCCTAGGATCTTCATATAGGTATGCAAAACAGATGCCTGAAGTAGTAAATATGAATACCTCCCCCGAGTACCTTAAACAGAGCAGCTAGCCATTGACTCAACCTGTCCCTGAAGATACTTTAGATGTTCTTTATGGAACAGCTGAATTAGCAAGACAGGAAGTATACCACTGTTTTATTTTGCAGCAGTAGTTATTTCTGCAGTGAAGAGAAGCAAGCAGAAGCAGAGTGCTTTTGCTTTCCATGGTCCCAATGGTTGGTTTCTGCCCTGTACCTAACCCTTTTTGGAACTGAATGAGAAATCATGCTCTAATGCAATTTAACAGAAAATAACAATGCAACTGAGACAAAAGAGTTATTTCCAAAAAGAAGAAAACTCACAAACACCACTAAAAACCAAACACCAAACCAGGAGTGTTATTTCTGAACTCCGTTATGCTGTGCAAAGGCACAATCAATACCACTATACCTGGATACAGTCAAAGAAGTCAGAGCAAATTGCACTGCAATTCTGCAAGACACTAAGTGAGCTAGATGTCTTTAATTACATCTAGTGTGTGTGTGTGGGGGGAATCAATCTACTATTGAAAGGCTCTATTGAATTATTTTTACACTGCAGTATCTATAAATAGTTGGGATTCCTCCCATCCCAGCTGAAAATTACAACTGAAATTAACTGTTATCAAAGTACAATCAGAGGACTGAACCTTAAAGTGAAAAACACTATTTACAAAGTAGCGACAAAAAATAAAATTAGATAATGACACCACTGATACTATCCCATTAAATAATCTACCCTGTTACCTATATGGAAGCTACCTTTACGTGCCAAGGGCAGAGTAGAAATTAGTCAATAAGCAATACAGAGAAAAAAGTTGCTGTGGCCAACATGCTCTTTAGTGTATAAACATATATAATACACACATTAATATGCATATATACATGCACTACCCAGAAACACCACCCCATCTACTTTTCCTGGTTTCCTTCTCTCCTGGGTCCTTAAAAAGAAACGCATTATGGTACTTCTGTGAAGGATTATTGCATCCAGCATTGACAGAAGAGAAAACCAAAATACAACAAACATCACCTATTTACACAGCATCCCCCATGCGGGAGTGTCCATACAAGCATCGCTTATCTGAGAGAGAAATGTGTTCCTGGGCTAGCCCTTCCTCTTCACACAACAGATATGTTTCTTTGAAATAAACATGGTCTTGTTAAACAAGAGCTGTACTTTAAATCCTGGAAGAAAACTCGAGTTTCACTACTACTAAGGAAGACAGCTGCCTATCCATACATTGTAAATAATTCAAGTAATTTTCAGCTGTATATTGATTACAAAATGGCAAAACAGAAACATACATAACATGCTGCAGAACTGAGAAGAGAGGAGACCAGAAAGACTTGTGGAAAGGTTTTTCTTAATACGAGGTGCTATTAACTGATAGTAAAAATATTAAGTACAACTTACATTGACATAATGAGAAATTTATATCAAGCATTCAAAATTATTAACAGCAGAAATTTTGCAGTAATCGTTAAAATAACTTTCCAGTGGTTTTTTTGTTACATAGTTATGCAGAAGTGCAAACAAATTAAAGCAGAGCTGCTAGTGTTCTAGTAAGAAATGTGAAATATTAATAGCTATAATCCCTCATCACCAAAATAGCAGGTAGAAAGTAGCTTTCTACTAAAAAAAATACCTGCCCAGCAATCTCTCTGGTATAAAAATATCAGCCATAGCACATGGAATTGTATTTCCTCTTGCACGTGTTTCATGTCAAAGGAAAAAAAAAAACCCACAACAAACAAAAACCCAACAAAACCCACCAACCAGCAAACACAAAAATAACCCCAAACAAAACCAGTATTTGCCTCTTTTTTTCTGGCATAATATGAAGTCTAAGTGTTCCTTTCTGATAAAAAGAAGGACAAAAAAAATTCTAAGAGAAAAAAATTTAAACTTTCATACCTATATAAGTCTTGAGGTTATTGACAGAAGAATTGACCCATGAACTGCAAGAACTCTTGCTTTCTACAATTCAATTTCCCCACACGTAACAGACTGATCAACTACTTAAGCACTTAGATGCTTAAACAAGGCCTACATGAGCAAAGCAAACATAAATTAAGTAGTAACACTAAACAGTAAAAAAAATGCCAAATAAAAAGTTTAACGTCTTCAAGTATTTCATACCAAGCGTCAGTAACAGCCAATACCATCAGCACTTCAGGAAAACTGTCTTAAACGATACTGTGATACCTCCATGGCCAGTGATAGATAATAAGATGCCACAGTACCAATTCAATTTGAAGCAAGTATCACACTGAACAATATCAGAACTCTTATATTCCCATATTACTGTAACATAGAATGTCTTGTACCAATCTCATGCCCACATTGCACAATTCAGCCTATTCTCCTTCCAGGCTATTGGGCCTCCACTTCTCCCTGAAGAGTGCTGAGGCTCGCTATCCATTCCTTTATCAGGGAGGATGAGGAGCAAGAGCTGTCTCCCCCTCTTCTTCTGTCAGCAGTGTGTCTTCTCACCCTTGGCAAAAAGCAGAGTTCCCACATGCATAGGCATACTACAGGATTAGGGCATACCATAACGCAATTGATTGGGATGGAAGAGAAGATGGCAAAAGGAAGAGTGGGCCAATGACTCCAACTCCACTTTGCTCCGTAATGAAGACTGCATCTCTAACCCTTTAGTAATCGATCCTGTTCTTCGTTGTGAAATGAGACCCATCTACCCATGATAATTCTCAGCGGTATCTTGCTAGCACTACTCAGTATAAGTTTGATTATGAACAAAAGATATCTAAGATGACACTCAGTGACATAAATTGACATTAATTCCCAGTGCTTTTCAGAAAGGACTGTTGCTTGTTTTAGCACATGTAAAACAAAATAGGAAAAATATTCAGGGGAAATGTTCTGTTACTTAAAGAAATAATAAAAATAGTATATTTACTGGGAAAAGCTAGCATTTAAAAAAACCCAGATTTTTAACTTTTTTACTTAAAGTTACTTTTTCCAGAATAAAACACACACATTTTTCAAGGACTTACTCTTCCACTGGAAAGATTCTAAAGTATTTGTTGTGGATACAATTCTCCACATACTTCATGAAAGAATGGAGGGCCTCCTTTGCACACCTCCCTATACATTATGATTAAAACACTTCTAGTGCACATATCACAGTCCTAGCTGGACAGCATATCCAAAATTGTTCTCCCACCTCTCCTCCCCGGCTTCTTCCAAATACACACATTAACTTAGTTGCTTACCTGGGTGATAAATTATAACTACGCTGTCTTTGTGGCCAGTGCCAGAGAGCAAGCTCTGACCCCTGGAAAAAGTGGTGTGGATCAGCACCCACGTACGCTGTTTGGAGCAAAGAGCTTTTGGAGAGCCTCTTCTGGAGAGGATTGGTCACATCTACACTACAGGGCTTGACCCCAATCTCTTGTGGGCTGCATGTGACACCCCTCTGGCCTTAGGACTTACATATATAAAATTATTTTATTTTGAATTCAACACATCCAAAATTATGATCAGTGCAATGCATCTCATTAAAATTGTTCATGCTGGTATCATATGCTTAAAGTTTTGGGACATAGCATGGGGGCATGTAGTGTGCAAGACCTGCTGATGCAGTGTAGGAGACCTGTCCTGATTAGTAGGAGGTGAAGTTGGTATGGTCTACACCCTTACTATCTGACCAAACTAGAGTGTTATACAGACATGTCCTCTCAGTAAAACAGAGGACACGCAACTGTTTCTCTCCAAGATGTAGGTCAATCAGCTACTACATACACAGTATGGCTTATTGCAGTGACAGCACCCAAAGAACAACAAAAAAAGGGGGGGAGGGGAGAGTGTGAATGACTAAATCTCTCAGTGTAGACAAACCACATAATTACTGTGCTGTTCAAAATGGAGGGAGGGGAAAGTTTAATTTGTCTACTTTCAGTAAGGACTGTCTGTCAAAGACTCCCAAGCCTTTTCTGGTGACCATTAAGTGTATTGCTGCTGAAGTTTGTTCCTGTTCTTGGAGTTTTTGTGTATGTTCTTTTTTTGGGGTTGGGGTGGTTTTGGGGGGGGGGGTGTTGTTTTGTTTGGGGGTTTTTGTTTGTTTGTTTGGGGTTTAGGGTTTTGGGGGGTTTGCTTGTTTGTTTACAACTCTCAACTCTACATCAGCAAATGAAAAAATCTTGAAACGGAATGAATCTACAGAGCATTGAACAAAGATATAGAGCAGTGGACAAGACTGCCATCACATAACAGCAAGCAACTGGAGAATACTTTTATTTAAATGTTACTATCATAGATGTTTTTACTGTTAATGAAGCAGAACCCATAGTTAAACACAACATTATCTTTTTACAGGAAGAAACATAGTTATGTAAATTAGGATATGTTATTTTCTTTTTTAAATCTTTAAAGATAAAAGATATATTTAGATAAAGGAACTTCATGATTCAGCATATATTTTAGCCATTATATCACATCGAAATCTGCTTACCTGACTAGAAAAAGTTTTTTGCCACTACTTTTTTAGACCATTTTTGCAAGGACAGTTAGCTCCCACAACAACCGTACTGCTGACCTATATCAAATTCATATGGGTAGAAGAGAGAGACCAAAACTAGTTTTAATTCATTCACTTCACCTATTCTCAAAGGCAACTGACAGCTGAGTACTTCACTTGTTGCACCACAACCAGACACAGCATGTGCTTACCCAGCCAGAGAAGAAATGCTGAGCGGACAAAGGGAAGAGAAAGAGAAAGAGGGTAAAACTTCAGGAACTAGTGAGAGAGGTCAGAGTATGTAAGAAAAGGTGAGTATATTAGGGAATGTGTTTATTCATTAGTACAGAGCTATACAACTTGTATTTTATTTCCTCTTAGAATTATTATTGAGCAACCAATTTTCTAAAAGCATTCAACAACAGCACTCTTCTTAAACCAAACCTTAACATTCTAAACACCAGCAACTCTACAAGTAAAACAGGATGAAAATTCTAGTAAGCATTAACTTACCTAACAGTGAATGCAATTTCTGTTTCAAGTTTTTCTTTTATATATACACTGAGGTAGTCCAGATTAGAAAGAGAAGTCTGACAGATCAGAATTCTTGTCCAGAGGCAAATTCCCACCTCCTTACCATTGCTACCACTCCAGCCAGTATCACTCCTTTCCACGGTTTATTAAATAATAAGGAAAATATTACAAAGCACAGTTACAAATATGATATTGATAACCTGATAACTGGAATCTCCTTTACAAATACACAAATGTAATTGTCTGGTGAGCAATGGTTTATTTCAAAGGTCCATCTACCAGTCGTGAAGATTTTCTTTTTCCCTGATCCAACTGGCAAAATTAGTTTTGTCCAGATAGACGAAAGCCCATAAATGCAAAAGAAAAAGGTCATTCTGTCTTTTCTGGTAGATAATAATCAAAGTGTACACACACACACAAAAAAGGAAAAATAGGGGAAAAAAAAAAAGGCATAATCAGCAGGTTATTTCAAATACAAGATGGTTGAAAATTCAGTACGTTGGTTCAATCTATGCTTAAAAAGAAATGTGAATATCCAGTATAAACATTTCAATTGTTTCATTGTGATCAAGTCACCAATACCTCTTTCATCATTATTCAGCACACACACACTTTGAAGTTATAGCTCACTCCTTTTCATTCCTTTAGCATTTAGGTTCTTTTATTAGTTTTTAAGATGGTAATCGGTAATTAATAAAACATTAATGAATAATTTGCTCTTTGTATTTAAGCAAACAGAAAACATAGTAGAGAACTCTGTGCACGTACAGACAGCAGAGAATAAGCAAATTACAACTTGTTTTTCTGCTTCTCCTTGTTTATTTCAAGTGCTGGAGGAAAGCAGTAGTCCAGACCAGAGACACACTTGTGGAGTGTGGAAATCAAAGAGAAGGAGTCTCTCTCCTCTGGCATGAAATTATAACAGTATTCTATGAAAAGAGAAACAGATTGTGCTCTGCACTGCAAGAGCATGAGAGAGAAGGGAATTACTTAAAGAAAATTTCAACTTTCCTAGATTTAATACTTAGAGGTCACTGCACTATTTTCAGTAAATACTGGCCTTCACGCATACATGCACAGACTAAAATGCACTAATTAGAAGCTTACCAAGATATTGGGGAACTTATTGCTACATGGATACCAAGTATCTCATTATTAAAAAACAAAACAAAAGCTGAATATCCTTAGAAGCAGGAAATATTAAAAAATGCTAACTTTCACCACAAATTTGGAAATCAGCTGTTTCCTTTGCTCTTGATACATTTTCATTTTTTGTTTTAGTGACTTAAGGGGAAAAAAGTTTATGCCACAGAACTTCTTTTTGGCAAGTATGAGTGATGGAGATTTGCATCTCCAACCAAAGGCATCTTCAGGGAAGGGAAGGTGCATGGGACCAGTTTAATCTCATTTGCTGAGTACTCCATTTCTATACCACAAACACTAGTGCTTACTGACCAAGCCTTCCTGCTTCACAACTTGCAGGCTTCACAATGTAACAAGTGCTTCAAATACCGGAAAAAATTTTAGGGTTTACGTGATTTGAACATGCCAAAGGTAGCATAGCTATGCCATGAACACACACACACCAAACAAAAGAAAGACAATACAGGAAACAATTCATAACTCAAGATGCAGGCTCATATAGGGAGTATAAAACAAAACTACTGGATCCCTCCACAGAACTGGGACACTGCAAGAGCAAATTCTCTTCAAAGACCTGAGGCTCAATCAATTAGAACACAGTAACATCAATAAACTTAGTTTAGTCACCATTAGACTCAGTTAATAAGCTCTGCCTTCCGATTAGCAGGATCAAGTCCCAGAGGAGTGGGCTCTCTACAGGTACAGCCAGCCACCCAAATAAACTCTATTACAGGATTAGGGCATAGAGATTTCTATGAAAAAAAACCTAAAATGTATTTATTTAGAAACACTGCACAGTTGTCAACTGTCACAGTTGCATTTTCAGAACAGATTTTGGTTAAATGAGCTGCATTAAGTTGGTTTTATTGCCTTCCCTGTAGTAATAACATTCAGATAACAATGGAAGTTAAAAATCTAATCTATTTTTTAACATATACGCTATTAGCTTGCTGAACTACACTCCACTTGAGCAAAACAATTAGCCAGTTTCACCCTCAAACCACCAGAGCATCACTGCTTCCTAGAAGTAAGAGGCCACTCCTCTTAGCTTTACAGATTCTTTATATCACAGAAAAGTTGTGTAATTACTGTATTATGGAGGTCTTATGCCCACCAGCCAAAGATATTGTCCTGATAAACCATTTTAAACTTTCACAGTTTATTTTGTTACTTCAAAATGGTATTTGTCCCCAAAGACCTTTTGCGTGGCTGAATAAAATATGCTATTTTCGATATTTTACAAACCCTAGTTTTTAAGCAGAGAAGTTCATGAATCTATCTGTTCTGTGAAAGAATGTGTCTAGACCTTTTGAAACTTTTTTAAATTAAACACATGCACTGCAACAAAAGCATATGCCAAATACTATTAAAGTAAGCCTTCTTTAATGAGATTTTGCTGATTGTGTATCAGCAGCACCACCGTGTGTTAAGTGAACAAGACATTTATTGCTGAGATTACTGGTATTGCAGAATATAATCAACCATTTACAATTTAAGTAATTGATGTAGGCCTAACTAGTAACAATATTTTTACACCATGTTGCCATGACAAACTTGCAAAGCCTTTAACCTATCATACCATTTCAAGTAATATTAGAATTTTAAAGAGTTAAAAAACCCCACCTTATTATTTTTTCCACTGCTAATGAAAGAGAAGAGAAATAAATATCCCTGAGAAGGACTAAATAAGATCTAATGTCAGATGCAGTGAATGGATTCAGTACGTCACCATGTGGAAAGACAGAAAGACAGACAGACAGAAAAGGCTTTGTTCACTAGTATGATACTAAGATTGGCATAAATAAATACTTCAGAAATACTGTAAAACTAATTGTAATATTGCTTAGCGCTAAAGTTACAGTAGTATTAGCATACTTTATACTTATGTTGATACTATACATAAATACTTCTTTAAAAGGTGTATTGAAGGTCAAAATTTACAGAACTTGAGATTAGGAGAACATTTATTAACATTACTTACACTAACACGGGTTTTCCTGATATCTTAGGACTGTTTAAAACTTCTATCATGGCTTGCTTTGTTTCTTCCATTCTTGCAATGTCACTGGAATCCACAACAAATATTACACCGTAGGACTCAGCATAGTAATTTCTCCAGATATTTCGAATTCGTTTTCCACCTCCTAAATCAAAGATGGTGACTTCAAAGCGTCCCTGTTTAAGGTCAATCTTGGAAAACCCAACTGTTGGAGCCACATCTTCAGGAGACTCTGTCAGAGTTCAAAGAAGAAAGCCTTCAGTAAAAAGTGTCCTTAGTTATTTAAAGAGGATTTTACACTGTGTTTTGGGTAGCAAAATTAGTATTTTAAAAACATGGAGCAAACCCTCCCTGTTAAGTGACACCATATTGCTAACTGCGTATTTTTAACATTAAGATTTTCCCTCTCCTCAGGTAATTTCATGTTAATACACGAGTGTCTCAACCAGTTACTTTACATTAATTTAGATAGGAGCATCAAGAAAAAGAAAAAAAGAGGAAAAAAAAGGCCCAAATGCAATTTTTAATATTTAACATCACAGTTAAATTGCAGTAGTGTTCAGTGTACTGCAGTTTTTACTTTCCTCCTCACCACCAATGCTCCCATCTGAACAGTTATAAAGCATTTGCATAGTATTAATCCAAGTCTGAGAAGGAAAACAAGCCAGCTAATGCATTATGACCTGGGAAGGCTTGTGCTCTGCCAAATTTATTCTTTATCCCTCATGGTTGCCAAAACAGCTCCAAAAGTTCAAACCAAGGGCTGAGGTGAAGTGATAGAAACCATGTTCTTCTGAGATGTAAACTACTTGATTCCCTTTATTCAAGATCAGGTTTTGGCCTTTGTTTGTTTGTTTATTTTTATTTTCTGCTTTTTTAGTTTGCCATGCATTATGCTAAAAAACTATAGCTTTACATTTAATACCTTCGCTTGCTGTCGCCCTCTCCAGAGGGCAAAGAAAGCCTGTACTTGCCTCACACCACTAAGCTGTCTCTGCAGGGGTGAGTTAATTGGATCTCTGCAACTGTTTTGTGTAGCTTGGTAGCACAAGGCAGGAGAAACATGTAAAATTCAGCTCGTTGAGAGGAAGAAATGAAGGCATGGTCAAAAGCGCTGAGCTCTGAAGAGCAGTGCAAAAGCTACATCGCCAGCCTTCTGCTACCACACTCCCTTTTTTTGAGAGAATCCTTCACACACCACAAAGATGGGGATTCAGAACAGACCCCTTCACTGGAACAGTGTAAGCCAAAACTCCAGCTAGAGAATGGTCCGGAACCACCATTTGTGAAAAACTACTCAAAACTCAGCGGACTTTATTTTGAAGAATGTTTTGCTCTCTGAGCTGTAAGTATGTGCTCTTACAAAAAAGAACAGTGTGAACATGAGGGTTGGTTAAGGGTGAAAGTTATTGATGGTGCTGAATGTAAGGGCATATTGCTGAAACATCTGCTCCTATTGTATGGTGAGGTCTCCAATAATAAACAGTCTTCAATGTAAAAACAGGGTCTGCCATATAAGCTGCAGATGCAATTTGGCAAATATGACTTTGGTGACCATGCTGATTTGCCTAGGTTTAAGAGTCCTAAGAGCTGAAATATATTTGGTTTCTGCTAAAACCCAGTAGTCATAACTGCATTCTCCTCCTATAAGCTGTATGACTGATGCACAGCCCAAAATACTGGTTTTATCAACCCTGAAGACTAACTGAAGGTTCTAATCTCTGCAAGCCCTGTTAAGGAAAAAAAAAAATTGCTTTCTAAGGTGTTGTGGTTTAACCCCAGCCAGCAACTAAGCACCACACAGCTGCTCACTCACTCCTCCCCACCCAGTGGGATGGGGAGGAGAATCAAAAAAAAAAGGAGTAAACCTTCTGGGTTGAGAGAAGAATGATTTAATAGCTAAAGTAAAATAAAATATAGTAGTAGTAGTAATAATAATAATAAATGTAATAATTGTAATGAAAAGGAACATTAAAAAAAAAAAAGAGAAATCAAACCCAAGAAAAGACAAGTGATGCACAATGCAATTGCTCACCACCTGCCGACCAATGCCCAAGCAGGAATCTGTCCCTCCTAGTCTACTCCCCCCAGTTTATATACTGAGCATGACATCCTGTGGTATGGAATATCCCTTTGGCCAGTTTGGGTCAGCTATCCTGGCCATGCTCCCTCCCCCAGCTTCTTGCACACCTGCTGGCAGAGCATGGGAAACTGAAAAATCCTTAATTTAGGATAAGTGGGAAACTGAAAAATCCTTAATTTAGGATAAGGGCTATCTAGCAACAACTAAACCATTAGTGTGTTATCAACATTCTCACACTAAACCCAAAACACTGTACCAGCTACTAAGAAGAAAATTAACTCTATCCCAGCCAAAACCAGGACATAAGCACTATTCAAGCCCTGGGAAACAGTCACAGAAGTCAGAACTATGTTTTCCTGGAGTTTCCATTTAGAAATACCCATCTTTACTCCTAATTTTTCCAGGAAAAAAAGACTTTTAGAAATAACTGTCACATTTAGTTGATAAAGGCATTAAAGTTGATTTTGAAACAGAACGGAAGGCTAAACAACAAAGCTCTCATGTTTTCAGGGCAAAGATTCAGGAATATAAATGAGAGAATATTCATAACTTTATTCAACTTCAGCAAGTTCATGAACTTACACAACATGTGTAAATAGAAAGTCGAAGTAGAGTCTCCAAGTCTGCCAAAACACTAAGTACACTCTTGTTATTACACAAGATGAAAGTTATTTAGAAAGACAATCCCACAAGGGGAGAATTTTTGTTTTCATAAGCACAAGTTTCATCTCAAATTGCATCTGGCTTGCATGTGTCATTGGATGGTGCAAAGTACCCTCCAAAATCAAGTGGTCTCTTACTGAAGTAAGTGCCTAGAAAATTGCTAGTGCTTTTCTGGTGATAAATAATGATATAAAATATGTATCACTAGAACCATCCTTTATGTTATATACATACACATACAATTTCCTTCTTTTAAACCTCTTCCTCATTATACATACAACATGGATTTTTATATAAAGTTTACTGATGTATGCTTGTTACTGGATGGTCACTTCAGCACATGCACACAAGAAAAAAAAACCAACACAAAAAAACCAAAACCAAAAACCAGGTCCATTGATTTCTCTAATGTATAGTAGATGTGAAACACATCATTAACCAGAATATTTTGTATCATTGCATTAATTCAAAGTAATTAAATAATTAGAATGTGGTCTACAGCCTTCAGAGTTTTTGTCCTATGCTTTCACTTAAAGCAGCTGATGGAGACAGACGGCTTTCTTGCAGTTACAATGTTCCTTCAGCTATTCATTGAACTACTGGAAAAACCTTACTCTAGTCCAAAAATATGCTCATGAAATTTAAACAAGAACCCAGAACAGATTTTGTTGCAATTTAGCATTTTGCACAGTTAACAATACCGTGGTCAACTCGAGGCACATAAGCACCAAGGTAGTCTGAACATTTGGTCTTCGTATTTCCAAGATAATTAAACACTTCTGTGGACTAATTTTTTCTGTCTGAGTGGACTAAGAGCTCTAATGCTGCATGGTGCAATGTCTTAAGAGGCAGCTCTCTCCATACTATCTATCTCGCCTCTACACCTCTGAAAAAGATGTAGGAGAATGGTAGCAACTTTGTTGAACTACCACGGACTTGCTCTAAGTCAGTCATAAAGCACATAACTGGGAGCACCTACTTTTTCAGACACCCTAGCATGACTTGCCAGATATCAAAAATCAGAGTCTTTATGCATCAAAGGTAAGACCCCTTAATTCTTCTCTCATCTGCAGGTCTTCACACAATGGGGCCTGTGACATGCTCACTCTGGCAACCACACGTGTACCACTTTCAGTGGTACAATGACTAAAATTTTCTTTCAACAATATGGGAGGGAGAGACAATTTAAGAGCTGAAGCAGCATTTTTATATTAAAATGATGGAAAATTAGTAATTATACTTTCTCTTTCAATGCTCCATTTAGATGATAAACAATTGCTTACCTCCTTGAATTCCTCGGACTGTAGCAGTTTTACCAGCATTATCAAGACCCACCATTATTAGTGTCACCTTCCTCCAAAAGGAGAAAAAAAAAAAAAAAAAGACATTTCAAATCTTTTTTCCTCTAGTTAGACTTCACTTATTTTATTAAGTTTTTTTTAATACATGCATAGCAAATTTACCACAAAGTAGTAGAAAGAATAGGTATCAAAATACCAAGTAGCAGGCATTGTTACAATTGTGTATCTGGTGTTCAGTATGTCAAACCATCTGATTAGACAGAACAGCAGAACAAGGTATGAAATGAGAAGTCTAGTATTGTGCTGTAAGTTTCGCATGAGCCAATGATTTTGCTTTCAACTTGTATCTGCCTGCTGAAATTTAATTTCACGGTACTGTAAATTTTATCTTTTTTTGGTGTGGTCATGGTCTCTTTAACAATTTCTATAATTTCATTTCCATTCCCCTGTATTTTTACCATCTCTCTGGCTCAAAGTTATGCCTATACTAGAAATTAATTTCTGTCTCAACCAGTGCATCTGAACAACACTATACAGTATGCAACACTTGTGTAGACAACATCAGATGCTGTAAATAAGCCGCACCGGTACTCATCATGCCTTTGTTTCAAGCAAGAGCAATCTAGACTGCAAATGTGCAAACCAGTGCTGTTGAGTACGTACAATACTTTAGCAAACTGGTATACAGGTTAGAATTTATACCAGGATAGGATTTTAAGTAAAGCAATAGGAAAAACATATCTATGTGTATACCTCAATTGTTCCTCCTATTCACAAAGACTCAGAGGAGTCAAAGGAATTTGCTCAATTTTATGCCCCTTTGAGTGAAGGAATACTAAAAACATTGTTATTTCCGGTCTTAAAACTATAATAGCATCATACATGAAGTATAGTTTATGCAAGTTCTTTCAGAAGAGCCAAAAAACTCTGAGAAAAGAACCTAAAAATGAACAGTAGGACCATAGTAAATTAACAGTAAGCTAAAATCAGAACAGCCATGAACATCTATAAACTCACAATCGTCTACAGTACATTGGTGGTGTCAGAAAGCTATTCAATCCAATATAGTTCTTTGAACAGCAGCACCTTCTGTAAAACCTAAACTATGTACTGTTGAAGAAAAGAACAAATCTTCCTACATGAGCGTGAAGTATAAGTAAGTGTGGTATACCCTTTATTTCCCTCCCCCACAGTTTGAAACAAACTATGCACTATCTACGCATCTCTGCTAATTGGAGGGAAAAGGATGCAGGATGTCAAAGTAAAAGTAACAGAAACAAACAAGAAGTGTAGAATTCCGTAAGTGAGAATGGATCACCAGGCTACCCACAAAATGCAGTATTAAGTTACTTAGATAATAGTAAGCAAACTAGTATGACACTGGGGCTACAGTCTGCTCTTGACAACAAAGTATTTTAACACATTACACTTCAGAATCTCAAAATGCAGAAACTAAATCAGTAAGACAAAAACCAAATAAACTTTACATAAACATTCTATCATCATGCCATAATGCTCAAGTTGAGGAAATGGTATGCGAAGCACATTATTTTGAACTTTATACCTTCCTGAAGTCAGAAACAAAGTACCCGAATTAGAGATGACTAACATTTAACTTTTAAGTTCAGAAGATGTATTGATTCTCTCTTGGAGAAAAAAATGACAGATTTTGTCTCAGAAATAAAAAATATGAAACAATGGTATATAGCAAATAAAGTAAAACATAGGTGAGAGGACAGTTTGGGAGGGTCTGTGCAGAAACGTAAAATACTTTCACATGTTTACCTCACAGGTTCCTGCCACCGTTTTAACCAGCTGCAGCAATTGGCCATTAGACTGAACATCCCTCTTCATTAGCCATCCAGAGCCATGCAAGCTACAGAAACAATGTGGACAGGCCAGAACAACACAAGAAGACTGCGAGAGAGACTGCAGAGACCCAGATGTCTTGTCACAGCTAGGGGGGGAAAAGAAAAAAAAAAAAAAAAAAAAAAAGAAATGCATAGTTAGCCCCTATGTATAACCAAGGCAAGCCATTTCCCTGGCAGCAGCCTGTCTATTCAGAGTGTGTCATATTCAGTCAGCCCCATGACAGTCTCATTATGTCTTTCACCTTTCCATCCTCTCACACTTCATCTGTCCCCATTTTACATATCTGGGCAGCAACAACACAATACTCACACAAAATGATAATGCAAGACCACTGTACATAAGGAAACCTGCAAGTTAGAGCAGTAAGATACATCAGGCTATGGAATTCCAGTGCTTGCCTCGCTAACACATCCCACAGCTCTGACAAAATGAGGACCAATTTCAAGCACGAGTAAGGCTTGCAAGAACATAAAAGGATAAGACATTAAAAGCAAACAAAGAATATCCTACCTGTTAAGTACATTCCTTTAACTGTCAATTTCTTTTACACAGAAAGATTGCACAAGGAAACTGGGTTCTCTAGCCAGTACTTTGAGGAACTGGCAACTTAATGTCTAGTAATTGTCACTAAGTTAAATGGAAGTATCAAGTACTTCCATTATTTTACTATCCCACTTTTCAAGCGGGAGGAAGAAACAGAATATTCTTTCTGGTGTTGCTCTGTGGAACAAACAATAGAGAATAACTGTGCGATCATGTGCATGTTTACTTCTTTGTATGTACGCATAGCTATGAAACAGTAAAGCTTACACAAGCCATGCAGTCAAGTGCACAACGATGCAAAAGCTTTAAAACCCCCATAGTTACTCAGCTACGATAATCCTACTGCAAACGACAGCAGTTGTCCAGGTAAAGGCCTTTCCCTGGCAAGCTTTGGGCAATTTTGCTTCACGAGTTCAAATCCACAGACTCCCTGGTAGGACGATGTACCAAGCCTGGCTGTTATTTTCTTCACAGCAGCCTGCAATGTGCTTTGCATTTTTGGCTAAAACACTGCTGATATCACACAAATACTTTGGCTATTACTGGACAGTGCTTGCACAGCATCGAGGCTTTCTCTCTTTCCCACTCTGCCCTGCCCACCTCTCCCCCAAGCCTCCTGGCTGGGCAGGGGGGGGTAAGAGTTTGGGAGGGGACACAGCCAGGACAGCTGACCCCAACTGAACAAGGGGATATCCCATACCATACAATGTCATCCTCAGTAAAAAAATAGCTCAGGGAAAAGAGGAAGGGGGAACGTTCATGGTTATTGCGTTTGTCTTCCCAAGCAGTTGTTGAGCGTGCTGAGGCCCGCTGAACATCTCCCCACTGATGGGAAGAAATGATTAATTCCTCTTTTTATTCTGCTTGAGCATGCAGCTTTTGCTTTCCCCATTAAACTGCCATTAACTCTATCCCTGAGTCTTCTCACCGTCCTATCTTCTCCCCATCCCATGGGAGAGGGGAGTGTGCAAGTCACCGGGTGCATGTTTAAGCTGTTGGGCAGGGTCAAGCCACCACAGTCCTCCTCTGTGCCAAGGTGGGGCTAAAGATAATGACAACTTTGTTCTGAGCACATTATAGTTGTTAATTGGCAGGCTCCTAGGCTGGTCACTGAGCTTGCTTACTGTCCTGAATATTAGAGTCCAACACTTGTTAGTGGCTGGAAAAGGCTGTTTAGGTTGCTCCTCCCTTGGGAAAAGGCAAAGCCATTTGTGGGATTATGTCTGCTCACATGCACTTGGTGGGTATTGTGGAAAGATGGGGAAATCCAGTGTGTATCTCAAGGAGATTTAAACTTAGGGGAAAATAATCCATGATTTGAGTTGTATGTTACAGGAACAGTACAGCAGAAACCACTTGAAGCAAAGGAGGATGAGCCTTCTGAGGACCAGGCGAGCGTGGCGGTGACTCCACCAAGTGGGTCTTGGCACCCAACAGGCCGCTGCCCCTGCACTGAGTGACTACCTCCAGGGATGGAGCCCAAGTCATCAACTGTTCTTATCCGGGGAGCAGGAGGCAGCTATGGAACAGGGGAATAATATCCGTGCATATGTCATGGGACAGGGGGTGGTGGTTGACAACATACCAATCTCTCCTCCAGAGATGATCACAACCCTTGCAGAAGGAATGTGCACTATCACCTCAGCTCATAGGCTCACATCATCTTAGCTCCCATTTTGATCAGCAGCTTAGGTGAAAAAAACCAACCAGATTCACATCAGAACAGCTGAGATGTGGACAGATATTCCCTACCGCTAACTTGCCTCCATGAGCAGATTAACCGAGAGTAGTAACACTTTGAATTACCACAGCAAGTTTCCTAAAGCTGTTTCTCAATATTTTTTTTAAACAAGGAAATTCCTTTCATATTTTAAATGATAACCAACCTCAAACAAAGGTAATTTCAAATTATGCAGAAAACTGAATAATGAAAGATGATAACAACTTTGCAAAGTTGTCATCTCCCCAAACTAGACCAATAAAAGTAGAAAAAAAATTGAGGAACTATGCCTAACAAACATATTTTTTCCCTAACAAACTATGATGGTCTAGATAATTTATACTGGTAGGAACTGGGAACTCCTCCTGATCTTATGAAGCTGCTGTATTCAAGGATGTCTTTGTGTGGATCTGCCATCATTCAGTGTCAGAAACAGGTCAGATTTCTTCCAGAGCAGAGACAACAGATACTCTTCAAATATTTATATTCCATTATACAAGGCACCTGAGAATAGCTTCTCCACAGGAAAGTTTAGTGTATGAAGAACAGAGAAGATCTTAAAAAGGACAGCAAGATGATTACAACTATTACAAATATTAAAATCGGGCTCTGATACATGCAAAATAAAAAAAAAAAAAAAAAATTTCCCACATGCAGTGGAATATGGTGTCTCAACCCACAAGCAAGCACCAACAAAGCTAACTTTGAGAACGTAGCTACACAAATTTTCACCTAGTTCTGCTGAAAAGCAAAATGTAACAGCTCACTGCACAATGCACTGACAAAAATGTAACATTTTCAGTGCCTGAGCATAATCACAGAACAATTTCCACCCCATGTTACACAGATTGTCTAGATTTGCAAATTGTCAAAAATTGCTCTAAAGCACAGATATGGCCCATAGGATTCAAATGGGATTCACGAGATGAAGAAAACTCATTAAAGAGTGAAGAGGAGAGGACGACTACATCATAGCAGAGGATTCTTGTTTAAATATGAAACTCTAAAGGGGGGTGGGTGGGAGGGAGGTGACAAATAAGATGAAAAACTTCCAAAATATGCCACTATAGGAGGGAAGGGCATTCAACACTGCTGAGAAAATTATGGTAGGGAGGCAAATTGCATTGTGTTATGCTATTTTGGAGAGACTTGATCTCTGAAATACATATGGAACATACTACATGTATTTTATGTGTTGCATTAACAACATTCAGAAGTTGTTCCAAATATTATACCTGTCAGCTTGAACTCTTTATGCTTGTTGAGGTGAAGCAAAACCAACAGGCCCACAAGCTCAGAAATAACGTAAATCTGTGTAGTTAAGCCAGTATACCGCTTAGGTCAGCACAAGTACCAAGGACTAAGAATGTCAAAGATCCCACTTTTAGGTAAGAGAACAGAAAAAGTGTACTACAGAGACTATGAAAAACATGACAGATAACTGCATTAACTCTTAACGCACTAGATTAAGATCAAGAGCTACTTAGCAGCCCGTATGTTATGTGATCCAAAGTACTGGGTACCAGCAAGTCCAACACCCAAAGTCATCTGATGAATAAGTTTATCTACTTCCACATCAAAGTACAAAACAAGCGCCTTTTACCCATTTCATTGTCAGAGTTTACATTAAATGTTCTGCCTTTGGTAGAGGCTTTTATGATAGAGAATTTTTCCAGTCATACCAAGCTCTCACTTTAAAACATAATTAAACAAGCCATTCAAAGCTGACCCTCCTCATAAAATTTGTTTAACTTCTTACTGTGATGTTCCTTGCCTGACTTGTTTGAATTTTAGTTATAAAAACACAGTATTTTAGTTGTATTGGGTTATACTTTGAACAGCAAACCAAGTGACTGAGCAGTAAAGAAGGCATATTGAGCAAAAATCTGAACACCGTCCTCTCTGCCAAAATTGCAGTGTAGTTAACAGGTGCATGACGTGCAAACAAGAACTGTAACGTCCTGAAAGACTGAGGCATACAAGTATTTGTGAGAAATAGCTCTAGGACCATCAGTTCTTCCGCGAAGAAAAGTTACTACAAGACTAGCAGTTCCAGTGAGTTTCCGTACTTCCCAGACACGCTCCTACCCTTCTTGTGTTTCCAAAAAAGAAGCACCCCTAAAATCCAGACCTTGGTTCAGGCAGGTTTCCTTTGCTTGTCTCTTCCACTCTGGGAGTACAGTTTTTATTAAAAAAAAAAAAAATAAATCAACATTTCAGGGAAAATCCGCTCTCTGTTGCTTACAGACTCACACGCAGGCTGCCAAACACCCACAGCCCGAGGCTGCCGTTGCGGAGACGCACCGGGGTGTTTTACTTGGCGAGACTGGAGCCGAGCCGGCACAAACTCGATCTCCGCCGCCGCCGGCGACCCGAGCAGGACGCTCGGCCCGAGCCCGCCGGGGCGACCCCTCTCCACCGCGGCCACCTCACCCGCCAGCCCGCCCGGGAGC